TTGAAATATAAATGTTTCGAAAAAAAATCAACAGTTCTTTTATTTAAGATTATATTCTTTAAAAAATGGAAATAAAATACTTTTCAGCTGGTGACAATGGACAGAGAATGACTTCGAAATTCGAAATATGCGTGTGCTTTGGTATTTATATATACGTAATTGAAAGAAACACTAATAACCAAAACTGGAGAGGGCGGATTTGTCAGCCAATAAAATTTTATGAAAAGAATTTGTGTATTCAAAGCTTAAAACGTGATGAAATTATAGCTTAAACGACATTTCATAAATAAATGTGAGGCACCTTCAGAAAAACAAATAGGAAACAAAATAATGAATAATGATAATCACAATTATCATTCTCCTACATACTCCTATTTTTTTTATCTCTGAGCACTGCCAATGTAGTAATGAAATCCAGATTATTCAAATCTAAATTTTGATTTTGTGCCCCTCTTATCGGCGATATTGTAACATACAGATTTTGGTCTGTCTGCCTGTCTGTTCCTTTGTCTATCCGCAAAAATAAACTTTGACTACAACTACTAGGGATTGTATGCTTAACATAAAGCTAAACATGAACTCTTAAAAAGGGTGTCATTTTCTTCTTTGTATGACTTGCTACATTCCTGTACGCCTTTGTCCGCCATATTTCTTCAATTTCACCATATTCATTTGAATTTTTGCAACCTGTACCTGCTTTATTAAACATGGTGTATTTGTTTTACTTGAGTGATTTTCTAGCCTGGCTGTCGATGTGTACACATCTCCGATAGCATAATTTTTAGAAGTCAATAATCTGACCAAATACATGTTTGAAAAGTAAAAATCGAACAAAACTGGAACAGCACTGAGAAGTAAATTTTTTCTAATGCATATGCTGCAATGTTTAAAAACATTAACACGGAATACATTCTTGTAGTATATTGATCATGTATAGAAAAAAGCCCTTTGGATATGCATGCATGGATGCCGAGAAAACGTATCGAACGCAGTGATTAACACTTTACCTCAATACTGCTATCGTTACATACTTGCACATGTCGAAAGATATATCATTTTAATTTACTTTTTATTCAATATGCATCTCAGAAGTCAGGTAATCCATTGATATCTCAACATTAAAGAAATTGTCACTACTTAGCACTTGGACACGCGTGGTCCATGCCGATCACTTTCTTTGTTTACGGAAATTTCAAAGATGGAAATCTAACTGGTATTTTGGTTGATTGAAAAATATACAAATATTGTTATTCAAAAATGATAACTGTAGATCTCTTAATTTTCGTGACACCTTATTTTCGCGAGATATTCATTGACTCTTTATAAGCGAGACAAAATGTTCACGAATTGAGGTCATTCCTTTTCATAATCTTAAGGAATATATTAAACGCGAGAATAAATTTTCGTATTCACTCGCGTAATAACGCGAAAAAAAGTTTTCGCGAATAAATAGTGATTTACAGTATTACTTTTGGCTGTAAATGTTGTAAATAAAATTGATGAACATGGCTTAACTACATCAATTTTTTTATATAACACGAGATTTTCCTATGAAAAAAAGGGGGTAGCAAAACCTGCATAACATTCTTCTAAAAATAATTGATACGAAACAATAAATGAATGAATGAAATAATTGAACTGCAACTGATATTATTTCTTTATGACCAAATATTTCAAATAAATACTGTGTACAGTCTTTAATTTTTTTTTTTAAATAAGGATCTATTATAACTTGATTTAAAGTTATTTATAATTATATACACAATAAACAAGTTTGATTCTGTGGTACATGAATGATCAAAATAGAATTAATTGTGAAATCATTTAATTTCTATAAAATACTTGATTCTGATTGGATAAAAAATTCTTTTGATAACTGCATCAATAGAATCTAGAGTTCGCTTGCACTAAGCAGCCGGAACTACTTTGGCAGTTTTTACATGTATATCCCCGCTTCAGGATTACCTTTTGAATGAATAATTAAATACTATTACTTTAATAAATATTTCCCTTAATTTCGGAACCTGTCCGTTACGTTCCTGACTTACTAGTATTTTCTACTTTCGTTTCTTCTTTTTGAATTATCCCCCTTTACTAAACAAATCAAATCGTCTTCATAACAACAATACAGTTTTGGGAAAGAAGGAAAGAAATCGGAAAACTTTTGTTTAATGTTTGACTTTGAGATATCTGGTATGAACAATGGAGCTCTGAGGAAATGTTTTATGTACGAAAGCGGGGAAAACCGTTAATCTGTTTAAACTTGGGAAACGAATGATCGAGAAAAACGACACTGCAAAAATGAGGACGGAATTCTTATAAATCTTAACCAGTCGGCAGCAGACTTTTTCAGGTCTTACAGCATTGACAGGTTGTGAAACGTATTTTTATGTTCGGTTTTGTATGGCAAGTCAAACGTTGCAAAATTCGATCTTTTCCATTTGTATTGCAAAGTTTTCCATTTCTATTGTATAATTTTTACTTGTATTCTATAATTTTCCATTTGTTTTGTAGAATTTTTCATTTGTACTGTATAATTTTCGTTTGCATTGTATAATTTTCCATTTGTATTATATAATTTTCCATTTGCATTGTATAATTTTTCAATAGCATTGTGTATTTTTCACTTATATTGTAAAAAAATCATTTGTATTGTATAATTTTTTTTTATTTGTAATCTATATTTTCCATTTGTATTGTATAATTTTTCATTTGCATTGTATCCAAGGGATTATTTATTTTAGTTTGTTACGAAGGATTTCATTGGTTTAATCTAATCATATGTCGGATTTGGTAGCCTAATACCCGAGATATAAGTTCCGGGAAGTTTACACGTGTTATCCAGTCTGAGCATAGACTGGCTTGCCTGTCTGATCCTCGATATACAGACATGTGACCAGTAATGTAAAGGGTCGCGCTCACTGGCTATCAATTATAACGGCCGATGTATCTGCACTCTGTCGCATAGGCGTCGGACGTTGGTTTTACAATAGGAAAACAAAGTTAAACATTGAAAGGGATTACCCATAGAGTGGCCCAAACCTACAACCCTAAGATTTACTACATGTATGTAAATCCACGCTTCTTTTATGCCACAACAGTTATAAACCTGGGGGAGCTTAGCCACCCCCCCCACTTTTTTTGCAAAAGTAGACATTATATAGGCATTGAAAATTGGGATTTACCTTTTTTTGGTTGGTTTAGCCCGCCCGCCCGCCCCCACCCAACCCCACTTTGGATTAGCCCCCCTCCCCCCACTTTCAATTTGCTTCCGACGCCGATACTGTGATCTTTTTTTGTTTCCCTGAGACGGAAACCAAAACAGATCACAGCATGGGCGTCGGAAGCAAATTGAAAGTGGAGGGGGGGGGGGGTAATCGAAAGAGGGGGGGCTAAACCAACCAAAAAAGGTAAACAGGCACTCTCATGGGCGTCGGAACCGGGTGGGGGGGGGGGCTTCATAACAAACCAAAATAAACAATCCCTCGGATACAATGCAAATAAAAAGTTATACAATAGAAATGGAAAATATAGGATACAAATAAAAAATCATACAATACAAATGATTTTTCTACAATATAAATGAAAAATTATACAATGCAAATGAAAAAATATACAATCCAAATGAAAAATTATAGAATACAAATAAAAATGATACAATACAAATGGAAAATTATAGAATACAAATGGAAAATTATAGAATACAAATAAAAATTATACAATACAAATGAAAAATTATACAAAACAAATGATAATTATAGAATACAAATAAAAATGATACAATACAATCAAATGGAAAATTATACAATACAAATAAAAATTATACAATACAGATGGAAAATTTTACAATACAAATGGAAAAGATCAAATATTGCAACGTTTGACTTGCCATACGGTTTGAAATTCAGATGAGAACGTTTGAAAACGTTTCTTCGTTAGAGCCATTTTGAATTTCAGCAACGTTAACATTGTTATGATGTATTCGTGCGAACTATTTATGATGAATAAATTTAATAGAAAAGTGAAAGAAAGTTTCATTTTATAAGCATAAAATCATTAAATGATAAGAAATGAATGTAATATTTTTCCTTTGATCGATGTATCAAAGAAAAAAAATGGACGGAAAACTTTTTCATCAATGCGCTACGCGCATCAAAGGAAAAAATATTACATTCATTTCTTAATTATATTCCTTGACATGTAAGATGATTAATAGTCAAAGGGTATAGGAAGGGACACCAAACCGCCTATGAGGATTCCATACATAAAATTAACAATTCTTTTTTAATCCATTTGTGTAAATATTTTTTTGTCAAGATTATACCTGAGAGGGTATTTGAGAAAGACCCCAATGTTTCCATTCCTGAGATGAAAAATTCACGTTTATTCAATTTCAATTTGGGCGTTAGATTTATTTTTCTTGTTCAATGTGCAAAAGAGTTGATAAAAATTATCCATATTCAACCAGGTTTAAATTATCCCTTCCCTACCTTTTTAAACTTTCTCCCAAATATTCCTACAAGACACTATTTTTTATAAAAAAACAAATTAGACTGTAAGACAGGGATACTAAATCTCGAAAGACTTTCTGTTCTACATAATTATCAAACAGTCACATGGCTTAATATGTACATACTTTGTAGTCGGAGTGAGATATTCAAAAAGATCTCAAAATTGGAATTTGAATAAAGATCTGTTTTCCAAGTTTATTTAAATAACGGTCACATAAATTCATCCCCTCTCCCCGCTTAAAAAAAAATGGAAAAACCCCTACATAAACAAATACATGGGCGCAGACATTTTGGACACCCAAAGTTGTGTGGAGGAGAAAATGCTAGCTGGCGCGTGATTGGTCAATAAGAGAAAAGACTTGTTATGTATTTGACAAGTGAAATAAAGTTGATAAAAATCTCATATCAAGACTTGGGTTTCTTTGAGTTATATAGGAGTTACAGGTAAAAATTTGAAGGGAGGGATAACTTTTGTTTCTTCAAATTTTCATTTGGTGTCAAACGCACCTAGTTGTAAACAAATGGAAATTGAAAGTAAAAGTGCAACGGCACGGTATATTTTTTCTGGCATTTTTTGTTTTCCAATATCTCGAACTTTCACGACAAAAAGGTGATTTGCCCGAAATTCAATACATGTATCAGTGAGAGGGGCTAAAGTTTGTATGGAAGTCTATGGGAAAACATTTGGTGGTGTTTGTCCTATAGAATAGGTATATGGTTTCATGGATAAAAATTGATTACAGCCAAAAAATCAACCAGTTCCTATTTTTTTGGCATTGGGATTATATTTTAATTAGTTTTGACTATTTGTTTAAAAAATAGAGGGTTTGGGTAAATTGAGGCTCACAATGGGGACTGCACATAGTGAAAAAATGCCAAAATTTTTGTCCTAGCTCTCATATTTTCAATAAATGTTCATGTAAATAATTTTAAATAAATATTTATACCGAAATTTACTGTGAATATTGTAAATAATACAATATTAATATTTATGGGCATCATCAATACACAAAACATATGAATATCCCCCTTGCAGTTTGAGAAATTCATTTAAATCCATGTATTTTATGAGTGCAGACATTGGAACAGATTGAGTAATCCTCTTTCGAATTTGTGTTAATCAGAGTTGATTGAATAATTTATAACAAAATTTGACTGCTGTTAACTAATTAGGTTACTTTGTTTTTACATAAGGGACATAATCCAGCAGAAAAGCCAGTGTCAGTCATGTAATCAATGCTGGCTTGAAATAAAAGTTATACTTTTGGTGAAACTTAGAGATTACTTGTAGGAAATTTAATTGAAATTACAGTACAATATATTTTTGCAGAAAATACATTGAAAATGCAATAAATATGCAAAATTATAACTGAAAAAATTATGAAAAAGGTGTCTGAATATCCCTCCTCCTTACCATATCCAACCTTGATATTCTACTGAAAGGGGGGGGGTAATTTTGTGCTCTAATCATGAACAAAAATGAAGGAATTTTGTTTAAATTTGGTTTATTTGAATAACAAGAGCCATGTTTATCTGCAGTTATTTTTTTCAATTTCTTTGATATTTTTTAAAATAATTATCTGAGTTAATTCTATTTTAACATGATTATTTTAAAGGTATTACATCACAAATGCTTAAAAAAAATTCAAAAGATGGTGTAAATACTAAAACATTATTATGTAAGCTACTAGATGCATTTATCAGTATGTTTTAATAAAATAAAATGTATTTCAGCAATGCATTATCAAGAAGGAAGAGATTAAGGAACCCTACCCTCTTACAATGAACAACACATGGACACTCTTGGGATGATCCCTTTGCTTTCATTAAGAGTTCCAAGGTATGGTTTTCTTAGAAAATCTAGTTAATCTCTTAATATTTAAGTTATTTAGAACTTTTTATAGATTATCAGAAAATACATTTCCTCAGAACTGCAGTTATTTAAACACTTTGCGTACAATTGAGCACTGTATTCAGTCAGACAATGATTTATCTGCCCTTGGCATTTAATCAATTTATTAATTATGTCAATAATAAGAAATGATATGCAAATAAATATATTTGCCTTTTATGAGAATATACATATTTAACATCAATTACATGAAATGTTCATGAAAATTGGCTAAAATGTAGGTCACCCCCCTTCAAAATTACAAAATTTTCAGTGGGGATGTATTTGATTCTCTGATGCCAGCAACCCACTGCTGATAGAATTTGTGTTAATCTTATGTACATTTGAACTAGATATAATTCTCTTTCTTTCAATTGATCATTTTATCTACATTAGTTTTCACTCTTTCCATAACCCAGCTTTTTCTTACAAAAACCTGCTGATTTTCTTCATTTTTCATTAATAACGGGTACCTGCTACCCTGAATGATTAACATGATCTACCTTGAGAAATTATTAGAGATAATAAGAAAAACAAGCAAAACATATGCTACATTAATCATTTTATTTTAAAAGTTTGGAAGAAAAATAGAAAAATGCTTCAATTTATAGACATCTTTTCTGTTTCACAGATGTTGGTCTGATTGACTGGGGTGTGAAATGTAACAGCCAATGGTGTACTTAAGCTAAGACTGTCAGTCCCAATATTCAAGAGGTGAGATAAGCAATGGATATGTGTTCTAAATTTACTAGATTGACCACTTTTTATAAATGTTTCTTTTACTCTATAGGAAAAACCCCTACATAAACAAATACATGGGCGCAGACATTTTGGACACCCAAAGTTGTGCGGAGGAGAAAATGCTAGCTGGCGCGTGATTGGTCAATAAGAGAAAAGACTTGTTATGTATTTGACAAGTGAAATAAAGTTGATAAAAATCTCATATCAAGACTTGGGTTTCTTTTAGGTATATAGGAGTTACAGGTAAAAATTTGAAGGGAGGGATGCACTTTTGTTCGAGATTTTCATTTGGTGTCAAACGCACCTAGTTGTAAACAAATGGAAATTGAAAGTAAAAGTGCAACGGCACGGTATATTTTTTCTGGCATTTTTTGTTTTCCATCGAACTTTCACGACAAAAAGGTCATTTGCCCGAAATTCAATACATGTATCAGTGAGAGGGGCTAAAGTTTGTATGGAAGTCTATGGGAAAACATTTGGTGGTGTTTGTCCAAAAATGCCTACAAGTCAATCTAAACAGGGGATGACCTTTCTCCGCGCGTGTGTTAAAGAACATACAGATGCACAGATAAAAATTTTACCCTGGTTAAATGCTTTTAAGTCATGAACAAAACAATTACTGTATTTCAAATTGCTTGGTTTACAATTGAGATAAGTACTAAAATATTCAGCTATGATTGACAAATACGGAAGCCCGTTGAGGCCAGTTCAGAGAAAGAAATATTTTAATTGCGTTTAACTGCAAAATATTGCGATTAATCGCAATAATCATTGCGTTTAAACGCAAAGTACTTTGTGTTTAAATGTAATATTTTGCGTTTAAACGCGAACATTATTGCAATTGAACGCAATAGTTATTCCGATTAAACGCAATAATATTTTTGCGTTAAATCGCAATAATTTTTGCGTTTAATCGCAACAATATTCTGTTTAATCGCAATATTTTTTTGCATTTAAATGCAATAATCTTTGTATTTAAAAGCAATCATTTCTATTGATCTTTGAAGAGTGCAATGAACCCACGCTGATATTTTTTTCTTCTTTTTTGTGCAGTTACCTATGAGGATAATTGTGTATTGTTCAGCTTTATAGAATCACATTCTTCTGAACAAACATTTTCTGAATGATTAAATCATTGATATGGATTTAAAGAGGAGAAAGAAGTGTCGGTCTGTAAAAACAAAGACAACCTAAGAAAGAAACAAAGCTTCAGCATGTATAGATATCGACGGAAGCGTAACTGGCTCTACACTTGTTGTTTTATAACTTTGTATATTGTCTTATATTTTATCGACTTATCAACATATAAAAGGTTTTACCTCCTTATTTAAACACATATTTTGAATTGTATTAATTTTAAAGGCAACTTCTTTTGTTCAATAGATTTTATTGCTTTAAGTTTTATCGACTGAAATAATTTATTGATTTTCAGATATTGATCGAAACAAGATATTTATTCATATTAATATAGTATTGTTGATATGAAAAATAAAGGTATAGTTATATCGATTTTAATTTATGAATATTTGCGATAAAGAAGTCAGAAAAAAGTTTTTGAATTAAGTTGGCGGGCGCAGGAATTCTAATGAACCTTCACATAACCCGGGATTCAGTTAAAACTTATGTATCATGTATTTGCCAGTGTGTACGATTGAAGGCTGAATCAAATTAAAAAGTATATTGAAAAGGGGAAATGGAGACCCATTAAATGTTGGATTAATAGGGGGCTATTGTACCGATCACCACTTTTAAAAAGGGGGGTATCTTTGTGTCCTTCATCCAGCTTTTTTTGTAAATAAAAAAAACTGATTACAGCAGAGATCCACTACACTGTAATATATCCCCAAAATTAAGAAAATTCTCGCAGTTGGATTATTAAATCTTTTGGGGTGTTTTTTTCTTGTTATATATTTAATTTGTCAGACACAACACCTTCCTCCTTTAAACGTTGTGACTAAGCTTATACAGATTTGGCTGAAATCACAAATTATTCTATATTATTTTAAGCAATTTGAAGTTATACCTGGTGTATATATTTTTGGAATTATGCGGGGTGGGGGGGTCAACACTGTAGAGGTTCGCGTTCATGAGTCAGATCCTATGTATACCATAGATTGGAAAAACATCCAATATTTACAAAGTACATAATACTGTTACTTTCTATATATTTTCGCTTCATTAGCGATTTACAATCCCCCACTGAACTCAAAAGATATAAGCAGTGAACCATGAAAGAATATATCATATTCCCTCTTCAAAAGTGGTGATGGGTACAATAACCCCCTCGGAAAATGCATATAATCTAACTGTTGATGTCTCTCCATCTCCCTTTTTCAAATATTTTTGAATTTGTTTCAGCCTATATTCTTGCACGATGGCAAATACACGGTACATAAGCTTTCTCAAGTGAAGTGAAGATTCATTAGAAAATTCCCGCCCCCGCTAAGTTATATTCAAAAAAACTTTTTTATATCTTCTTCTCGAAAATATTCATATATCTATATCGATATAACTATATATTTATTTTTCATATCGACAATACTATATTGACATGTTAGAATATCTTGTTTTGATCGATATCTGAAAACTAATATAACATTTCAGTCGATAAAACGTAAAGCAATAAAATCTATTGAACAAAAGAAGTTGCCTTCAATTATGTAAATACATCTCAATACAATTCAAAATATGTGTATAAATAAGTAGGTGTAACACTTTATACATGTATGTTGATTGTAAGTCGATAAAATATAAGACAATTTTTTTTATTAAAAATTAATTAAAAATCTTATTTCCTTTAAAAGTTATTAAGGGGGATGTACAAGCCATATTGGATCTAGTCTGGTGTAAAATAAGAAATACCAAGAATGCGCTTAATTATTTCTTTAAAAGCTTAACTAGCTGATACTTAACTAGCCCAAAGATACTCAAAGTGCTAATGCACTCATTACCAACTGTTAGAGACCAAATTTAGTAAATAATTACGTTTATTTTGTTTTAATTAGAAGGAAATTAATCATGTTAGAACTGCGCAGCTACAGCATTCACGAGATGAAAAATGCATTGAAAATGGTGTTAGTTCGAGTCATTGATTATATGGCTACAACCATTTGTTTCGCTTTTTTCTTGTCATTATCCATAATTCTTGAAAATTTGATTTTTTATATGGGGGTCTTCCTGAGGCCATGTGTTTATTTCGTCCGCCATTCTTCGTAGAGATTCAAAACCACGTGCCGACATTAATAAAATATTTACAATGAATTCAATGCCCCTATCAGCCCCCGGGCCTTCTACTCTCGGGCTGATATGGGGCCACTCAGGCTGATATGACATATGATATGGGTCTTAGTATGAAATATTCTCTAGTTATACTTACGCGTCTAACATCAAATGGACGCACAGTAGGAACTCTGGGACAAAATCCTGGACTTTTAACTTGTCCATAGATAGAAGATAAACACATAGAGATCACGAAGAGAATCGCTGCACAGTCCATGTCTGCTTAATGAAAGTATCACATCTAAATTTAATTCACTGTATTTATTTATACACTCATCCTTTTTTTCAGACCACAGTGGTGTTCTTCGAAAAAAGTTATTTTTGTTAAAATAATGCACTTTTATAAGATTTACAATGAGACAATTGAAAGGATGGGGATAAACCAAGCTCGTTTATCAAAAATTTAATCCATGTAGAATATTTAAATGTCCTTTATACTTGAAAACTAAAATGTTCATCTTGTAATCAATCAATGATCAAGTACATTATTTACTAAATTCAAATGTAGATCTAAATTTCGTTGATCTTAGCAATTGCAAACAATGATTGAAGTAATTTTTATGCAAAACGAAAAGATTATCGATCGCCAATTACGATAAATTGCACACATTTTCAGAACCGATAGGTTTTTATAAAAAAGAAATTGCTTTCTTTTATTTTTTTAATTTATGCAATTCTATGAAAGATCAGTATTGAATCTTTGATAAAATCGTTACAATATGTAATTATGCTGGTAAATTCTAAGTCAAGTTTAGGAATTTTTCATACAAACCGGTTCTTCAATTTCGACTTTTGGGCCATTGTTGTTATAATTATTTATAAAACCATCAATGAAAAATGTTTCTTAGCAAGAAATTCCTACGAGTTAAGGTAAGATGATACGTTTGTTAAATATCTGTTCTATGAATGTTTGGAATATACGATTTTTTTTTTTCAAAATCTAATTACATTATAATTTTTAAACCAGTTTCTAATCTTCTCTAAAAAAAAATTGCAACACTAAAAAAAGGATTTTGTAGAATTATTTTTTTCCCAAAAGGTTAATATAAGATTAACTTCCTTCGGCTATCTTTGACAAATGCCCGTTAAGGTATCTAATTTTTTTAATGTATAAATATTAAAGTAGAAATATTTCAGTGAAAAAGTCTTGGAAGATAAAATTATATTATTGAGAAACATCTCATCTGTTCTAAACAAAAAAAATATTGTTTGCTTCATGAAGTACGTATAGTTTTATTTGGTTTCTGGCTAAATTGAATACTTAAAGAATATTCGACTTTATGTTCTTTATATTAAATTGTTAAGGGTTTCAAAGAAAATATTTCTCTTTCTTATTCACAATTGTACAATAAGAAATAGTTTTGGTAAAATGACTTTGAAATCTAATAGGGATTTTATTTTTTGCGGAATTATGCGGATGAAAATATCTCCTTTTCTTCTATTCTTAATAAATATAGAATGATGAATTGGGAAGGCATTTTTATACAATTATAGGCTGAAGGAAATTTTTGTACGATCTGAAAATATTAATAATGGACAAAAGTTTTAAAAATCATCAAATAAATACCTGTATGATTTTCCCGACATTGGCAAACACGCATATCTGATTTCCGCCGACAAAATGATAAAATACAGTCCACCACAATTTAATAGCTAACCTTTTTAGATGTTCTTAAAAAACAAATTTAACATTTTCATTAAGTAATTGCATAGTTAGGATCAGAAGGTTTTCTATGGGGAAAATACTGTGGAGTGTCAACAGAAGCTGCTATCTCTTTACGCTTTGTACGTATTTGTTCTGCAAGCTTCTTCATCTTTTACTAAGTCGCCGTATAGAAACTGCTTCGGGATGCGCGAGTCGTCCATTCGAAGAACATACACATGTACATGTACATATTTACCCGGTTTAGAATCTCAGTGTCC